AGATGGCTGGGACTCGCGAGTAAAGAAAATGAAGATGCGGTAGCTGCTGCTCATGAGTCCCAGCCATCTAGTATAGCCCCAATCCACACCGCTCAGCAGTGTGGGAGATACTCTCGGCGGTGGTGGTAGTTGCCGGAAGTGCGCAATTTAAGTCACCAGAAGTCTGCAATTTACATGTAACTGAGGCCCTTAGGGTATATTTTCGGCCTCGATAATTTGGGACCGTTATTCGGAAGATAGCCACACATTCTGACCGAAACCTATCTCACACTTTCTATTTCCTTTATTGTGGAATCTGTTGTCCTCATCTTTTTAATCACATTTCATTTTTTTGGAGTGCTTAGGGAACAGAAAAAAAAAAGGGGCGGGGGGAGGGGTGTTTCATATACTTATGGAGGGCAATTAGTAACCACCGAAATGAGGTGTCTGAGAAGGGCTGTAGGAGTGACCATAAGAGATGAGATCAGGAATGAGAACATAAGAGAAAAAGTCGGCACAGAACCAATTCTGGATTACATACGAAGACAGCAAGTGAAATGGTTTGCCCACTTAGAGAGAATGCCTTGTGACACCATACCATACATGGAAAGAGAAGAAGGACGTAGAGCACGAGGTAGACCAAGAACAAGATGGAAGGATAACATCAGAGAAACTCTACAACAGCACGATGTGCCTATGGTCGAAGCGGCCAGAAGAGGTAGAAACAGAACCTTATATCTCCCTCGACACCCACAGCGGTAAAAGAGGAAGTGAAGAAGAAGAAAAATGGAGGGCATAAGGGCCTTGCCATATACTCACTGGGGTTTGGTGGTCTTACCATATACTTATATGGCATATACTGATACACCTGAAAAAGGTTAGAGACAATAGGTCTATAAAATAGAGGACAGCACTATATGCCCAACATGCCTAATGGTGTGGAGATGTGTTTTTTGACTTTATGGTATAACATAATCTCTAGTGTAAAACTTTGGGGGAGGGAGAACTGAACAAATTCCAGCAAATTAAGAGGTAAAGAAAAGATAACGGCGTTGGATAGAACAAATGCTGAGAAAACCTAAGAACATAACTAGAATGTTTTTGCAATGGAGGACACATGAGCTTGAAATAAAGGCAGATTTTAAAAAAAATCACACACACACTAGATACTACATGGAGAAGGGAAATACAGAGTGAAGAGAAAAAGATGGGGAGGAGGTGGAATAAGTGAGCTGCATGAAAAACGGATAGTAAAGCGATAGTCAATTTGGTATAAAATGATAATTTGGCTCAGGACCTGTGTTCCTGGTGGAGGGGTGGGGTGGAATAAAAGCTAAGGGGAAAAAAAGGAAGAGAAGAAGAAGAAGAGGAACCCACAAACTGATCACAGATCTGGGGCTGGTTTGCGACGTACTATAATTTGTAAAGAAGACATGCGACTATTTTTAATTTATACTACTTACTAACTATCACTACTATCAGTACTTATACTTTTATAAATAACAACATGCACGCTGATAACAATTGAAATCGATGACGTCCGCACACTTGTAGAGTTAGAAAACAGATAGAGAATCTTTGAGGCAGAAGACACATTAATAATATGTCATTATATTAAGAATAATCAAACATGCATTTATTTATTGATCCACACTCTTTCTCGTAGGCCTAGTTGTTAGTACTGTTACAGTTACTGTCAGTAGTTCAAAGTTGGGTGAACTGAACTCAGAGTTAACTTTACATAGTAAAGTCTGTATAATTTACAATAACAAATTATGATTGTCGATTGCGCACAAATACCTGATAACTCTTAACTAATACTCAATCACTGTAATCGGACCGGGCAGAATGTTACCAGGCCTGATTTCTAAGAAGTTCTCAAGATAACAGCTACATCAGACAGTAAGTTATTAGTCAACAGTACTTTGGTCTTCTTTCGACGGTTAGGACTGAATGAGAAATTGATGAATAAAATTGAGATGCACATCCGGGAATATTGCGAAACGGCAACAGGAAGAGCAGCAGACGGAAGACGAGAGATTGTTATTGTGAAAGAGAGAAAGGCAACTCATCTCTTGCTTTGTTCGGTTGGGTGCTGTTGAAATGACGCTCTATGTGTTTATTAGCTTTCTTTGAAGATAAGGAAAAAGATTTAAGAGGACAAATTAAACTTTAGACAAATAGAAAGCTATAATAAGTGTAGAGACACCAGGTTCGAGAACTGTCATAAGACAAGAATTAGAAATCTGTCAACTGAAGTGAAGTCGGAAGAGAACCAAAGTAAATAGTAAATTGGTTTAGTTTACTGTTAGTTCTAGTTACCAAGGATAAAAGATTAACAGTGTTTGTTATCAAGTACAGTATTAGTAACTATTATCGTGTTGCCTACTTCAACTCAGAAACCATTAAAAACTACTTTTAGTTACTTTACAATAGTTTGATCGGTGTTTTAAAATCATCGCAGTTGGCTTACTTTCACTTAGTTGCTCGTTAAGCTAAAGTGACAGAGGTACACTATACACATCCTTTGCTGCAGGCAGCGGAGTACATCTTTAAAGCAAAATATAAATTTGAATTGAAACTGTTCCTTCTTAGTTTATTTCTTTTCCAGCTTTGAAGTTTGGTACCTTTTATTTACAAGGGTTGTTCTGTGAGTATGTTTAATTTTACATATGTTATTAATATTAATTATTATGTTTAAAATTATTATTGTTTATGTCTTGTTATGCCATTATGTGTAATGGTACATCAGTCAGTAGCATTTCCGTTGCAGTACCTTGCTCCCATAAAAACTCTCCGGAAAACTTCTATATCACAAACAGTCCGATACACATATATGTAGATCATACACCACATCCTGCACCCATCTTCTCTTTGGCCTTTATCTTTCTCTCTTCCCACGCGTATACCTCTCCATTATAGTTCTCTCTAAACTTTCATGATGCTTCAAGTGACAAAAATATTTCAGTTTTCTGTGTTTTATTGTCTTTAATAGCCAACCTTCTTCAGTTTTCAGTTCTTGAAGAATGAATGCATTTGTTCTTTTCTTTACCCATGATAATTTTTGGAACCCATGAATAACATTTGTATTCAAAGGCATTTATGCACTGTTCATCTTGTTTCGCAATGGGAAAGATGCATGCTCCTAGAAATCTATTTTGTGTAGTTCTCTCTGTCCCACTCCACAATTTAAAGGTACATATTGAAAAATAGTGGTGATATTTATCAGTCGCAATTTCTACTTAACTCATTTTAGTCCAAGACAGTTCTGACATCAGGACTGCTTATCCTAGAGATTTATACCTTTAAGCAACAATTTTTAGTCTTGTGGAACTGAAGAATACATCTTTGGGACATTTTGAGTTGTAGTAAATGGGTTAACATAACAGGCATAGAATGAGTAAAGAGATATGTATAGTTATAATGGGAAGCTGCTGCTCGTGAGTCCCAGCCATCTAGTTTAGCTCCGCGCCGCTCGTAGCAGCACGGGAAATACTCTCGGCAGTGACTTTAACTCGGCGGAAGCTTTTCCGCGGTTCTGTGTATTCACTGGAAAGAGGTCCGCAATTTACATGCGACTGAGGCCCTGTTAGGGTATATTTTCGGCCTCTATAATTTGGACCATTATTCGGAGGATAGCCCCTATAAGAATGAAAGCCATATAATCCGTTGAGTGGCGATTGGTCCATAAAAATGTTGGTCTTGCACTAAATGCCTTATGCACCAAGGTGATAGAAGGGATATAATGTTTGTTTGCATTATTACCATTGTGCTGAAGATATTCACAGATTTTCCTGATGCTTATGTTATTAATCTGTCAAATCTGAGCAGCTAACTTAATAAAATTTATTTCAGTGTTGATTCTTGAGCCTGTATGGCAATATCCATGTTGAGTCACCTACTCATTTAACTCACATCTAACATGTCTTACAGTCACAGTCTAGCACTAGTATTAGTTTTATTTTATGCTAGAGCTGAAGGTCATGAGTTCAGGTCCTGAGGGAGCTGGACTTTTTGTCAAAAATAATCTTGGCCCCCAGGTTGACCCAGTTGTAAATTGGTACCAGATAAAGCCCTGGGAAGCAGAGGCAGCTGGCATGAGATCGTCTGTATCACCTGTCGATTGATGTATGAAATATAGGTCTAGCCCTATATGCCTAATGCCTGAAGGTGCCTAAACTTGTCTTTTACTTTACTTTTCTTTAGTTTTCATAAGCGTAGTGGGTAATGAACAGGCAGACAGATTGGCCGGATCTGCACCACTGGGTGGTGAATTAATACATGACAGGGCAGATGTGGTCAAGGTCCTTTAGGAACAAGCAACTGCATCAGTAGAGAAACAAGATTAGTATGGTTTGGAGAGAATGAGAATGAGGCATCTGGGTGTAACCAGAGGGTCTGGCCGGTTCACTACACTCAGAGGAAAGGCAAGACGGACATATAACCAGATTGTGACCTGTACCACCAGTATTGGAACTCTGCGCTGGCTGCTGAAGATGATGACGGAGCACACATGGGAATGCCTTACGTACTGTGAAGTTTTCATCTTACCATTTTTATACATGCTGTGTCAATAGTGAGCTGATACCAAATCACCTAGGGCTGTGGTGGCATAGTAGCTAGATATTTGCCAACTGGTCGAAAGGTCTTAGGTTTGAACCAGCATTACCTGTGTGGGCTGCAGGATCCTCTTTTTTTGCGAGAAACAAGAATAGACCCACTGCCCCTTAACAGGCATGTTGTAGGTGTTGACTAGGCGTGTTTCCTTTGAAGTCGGAATGCACCTGTCTGAAAAGTAAGGAACCAGAAGTGTGCATACAACTAGACAAAGTCTGTAAAACAGATGTGCATGCAAATCTCAGGTCCTGGAACAAAGACAGAGTCCAAAAAAAAAAAAACCAGGACTTTCAGCCAGAGCACAAAAAAACAAAACAACAACAAACAGTACTGAGGGAGATTGTTATACTGTAGTTCACTTGGACTAATTACTGAAACTATATTTTTGCACAGGTTGTAGAAATATGGCTTCAGCACAGGACCTGCCAATTACTGGAGTCTGCATTGTCAGTGATCCTGGCCGGTGTCCACCAAACTTCATCCTGGTATGTGTTAGCCTCACGCATTTCTGTTTGTAAAGAGTGGCTTCAGTGCCCACAAATGTCTCTAAGTGTTCCAGCTTTCTTCAGAAGATCAGACCTGGACGTTCTCACCATAATTAACTAGAGGAGGTAGTCATAGGAGTACCAGAAGGTCCAGTCTGCTGATAATATGTGGTGGTGATCATGTCTACCAATGTTTATTAGTGCTAAATGCAACATAATGAAAAAGCTTCGTGGAGGGGAAACTTGCACAAATGCAACCAAATGTTTTGACTAAAGTCCTTCTTCTTATTTTGTTTGCTTGCAATAGATTATCTGTGTCTGCAGTGTTGTCTTTAGTATGAACTTCACTGTCTTTTGTAATTTACTCAGCGACCCGTAAAGTTTGACTTGCACTGATGTTTCTCTTGGCCAAAAGTTTTGCCTTGCTACGTTGTTTAAAGTCTTTGTCAGAGAGTACTAAATACAGCACAAACTCATCCCCGTGTGAGGACAGGTCTGTAAAATGGATGTGCAAGCAAAACCCAAGTTCTGGAACAAGACCAATGTCCAGAAGTGGATGAACAACCAGGACTTTAAACAATATTTTACAGCCGGTGAACGATAAGAAGAAGAAGATTAACAGTTTTATTCTGGAATGTTTAGTTATATTATCACAATTGATGTCACATCACATTGGACACTCCCATGCAGGCTCAGTCTTCCGATGCAGCAGCCACTCCAAGGTTCTTCTAATAATTTTTCCCTTTAAGAGGCTAGTTATAATGTCTCTTGTCTCAGCCTCGAAGGTGGTATAGACGTGCTTCACCATGCTTCACTCCCATGTCACGCAGTCGTGTTAGTGTCAGAGATTCATGACTATCCACTACCCCAGTCAGTACAATGTTGACGATATCTGCTCTGTCCATCCTTCTTTCTACATGTGTTGGTGCATTGCTTGCTGGTTGGTCCTCCTGTGGGCCCTTTAGGGGATTGGGGGGGGGGGGCGGTTAACAAACTCAATGCCCTCTTAACAGGTATGTTATTGAGGACAGGTAATTAATGATCTGCTGAAATCAGACGTCTTGTGCAGAAGTTACAGCTTAGCTGTTTACCACATTGTGATGTGCCAGTTGATGTCTAAATCTTTCATCCAGAGAAACTGCAAAACTGACACTTGTTGTTGGGAGTTCGTTTCATATAAATGTCACTTCTCTCACTGGTAAGTATATAATCTTCTTCATCACTTTCAGTGGCTGTGAACTCTTGTGGAAAGTTTTGGGCGTTCGTCCACCTCCAGACTTTAGTCTTTTTTCCAGAACCTGAGTGTGGCCAGCCATCTGTTTCACAGATCTGGCTTAATTGTATGCAGACTCTTGGCTCCCTGCACTCTGACTTTGAAGAAAGCCTGTTGACCGTGTTCATGCCTGCACAAAATGTTTATGAGGTCAGGATGTGAATATATTAACTAAAAATAGATTTGGGGTGCCTCCATATCAAATTTTCTTTGTTTTTAAAGCCAAGTTGACATCATATTTTACAGTGAGCCTCATTGAAAAAGATCACTGCACGAGTCACTCAATTTATACATTTTTTTTTAGCTCCAGGGAATGTATTTAATTTAATGCTTCATTCTGCTCACGTTTATTGATTGCTCCCTTTATATATCAGTACATTTCAAAATTTTTTCACAAATGTACATAAAATGTAAAATATTTTTTAGCAATCCATGTAAAATTGTTGATTTTAAAGAATCAAATATATTTTTTAATTTCGGATTCCTGTGGAGTCGTGACCCATTTAAAAAAAAAGCGTTACTGGGTGAAATGGTTTAGGTTGACACAAAAGGTGAAGAACGTACTATCTGAGATTCATGGCTGTGGGGTTCTGGAAATGATAGAATACTCTGTTTCTTGTGTACATATACCCTGGTATAAAATTATTTTACCTTGACAAAATGTCTCACAGATTGACAAAACATTTGACCGTCCTGAAGATGCAGATTTGTGGAGAGATGGGTACTTTGGGCGGAGAGTGATGAGGTACCTCTGTGTGCAACGACAGATTCCATTACTGGTGGGTACAACATGCTCTGCATTATAGAGGCTAAATGTGCGTAGTCAAATTCTTTTGTGTGGGAGAGGGAGTCATGTCATTGATGAGAGAGAGAGAGAGATGGGGGGGGGGGGGTGGTAAGGAAGTGAGAGAGAAACAGTCAGAAGAGAAAGGAGTTGATAGAAATGCAGAAATAAGACTACAATTAGCTAGGGATACTGTATTGAGTGGTCAGGCTCATTCCATGCCGTTAAGAAATAAAATAAAATAAAACTACCTGATCATTGAAGTATTGTGAAACTGTCAGACAGCTTGCCTGGCAGTAAGTGCCAACAACTTTTCATCAAGCAGAATTAAATTTTTTGGTCAGCACAGCTTTGTGGTCAGCACAACTCTATGTTCAGCACAACTCTGTGGTCAGCACAACTCTGTGGTCAGCACAACTCTGTGGTCAGCACAACTCAATGGTCAGCACAACTCCATGGTCAGCACTACTCTGTGGTCAGCACAGCTTCATGGTCAGCACAACTCTGTGGTCAGCACAGCTCTGTGGTCAGTACAACTTCATGGTCAGCACAACTCTGTGGTCAGCACAACTCTATGGTCAGCACAACTCTGTGGTCAGCACAACTCCATGATCAGTACAACTCTGGTCAGCACAATTCCATATTCAGCACAACTCCATGATCAGTACAACTCTGTGGTCAGCGCAACTCCATGATCAGTACAACTCTGTGATCGGCACAGCTCCATGGTCAGCACAACTCCATGATCAGCACAACTCCATGATCAGCACAACTCCATAGTCAGCACAACTCCATATTCAGTACAACTCTGTGGTCAGCGCAACTCCATGATCAGTACAACTCTGTGATCGGCACAGCTCCATGGTCAGCACAGCTCCATGATCAGCACAACTCCATGATCAGCACAACTCCATAGTCAGCACAACTCCATGGTCAGCACAACTCCATGATCAGTACAACTCTGTGGTCAGCACAACTCCATGATCAGTACAACTCTGTGATCAGCACAGCTCCATGGTCAGCACAGCTCCATGATCAGTACAACTCCATAGTCAGCACAACTCCATGGTCAGCACAACTCCATGATCAGTACAACTCTGTGGTCAGTACAACTCTGTGATCAGCACAGCTCCATGGTCAGCACAGCTCCATGATCAGTACAATTCCATGATCAGCACAACTCCATGGTCTTCAGAAACATGGTTGCCTGCTTCTCTACTCTGTATTCTGTGTACTCTCCAGAAGTACATTGTGTACTTGTACCAGTTATATTGTATTTATGTAGTTACTTACTTTCTTATTACTGAATCTTCTGGGTGTTTTCAGAATCAAGATGTATTGGTTGATGTGGCGCTGATCAACGAAAGGGATCTGCCGCCTGCAGGCTTTTCTGTCATTGATTTAACTCATGACACTCGTAAGTGGTCATTTATTCATTCATTCAATTATTTATATTTTTATTCATTCAGTCCTTTATTCAAATTTTCTGTCCTTCATTAATCCATTTAGTAACACTTTTTTCTTTCATTAATTTATTCATCCATGTCTTCTTTCTTTCATTAATTTATTAAGTCACACTTTCTTTTACCAGTTAAGAATCTCATACATTTGTTAATTAGAGAACCAATGGAAACCAAACTTTACGATTTGCTGAGCGAATTAAAAATGTCAGTGAAGTTCATGCTAGAGGCAACATTGCAGATATAGGTAATGTATTGAAACCAAATTAAAGAAGAAGATTTGGTAATTCACAGTGTCTTTCATTAATTTATTCAATCGCACTTTCTTTTACTAATTACGCACTTCTAACGTTCATTAATTCACATTTCTTTCATTCACTCTGTCACATTTTCTATCTTTCTAGTCTGACTTTCTTTTACTGAATTCTTTCATTCAGTCACACTTTATTTCTGCCATTCATTTTGTTACACTTTCTTTTATTTATTCTGTCACATTTTCTTTCTTTAATTCATTCCATCACTCTTTCTTTGACTAATTAGTTAACCCATTCAAGCAGCAAGATTCTGTTTCTAGCTATTACTATGGTATAAGCTCCTCCTCATAAAACGGATATTGGGGAGTGGAGAATAATTTATCTTGCCCCACTTCTGCCTTTGTTTCCCCATAGACCTTTCCATTAGTCACAATATTATATAATGCCTTTTTTTCATCAAGATGGAGAGATGAAAAAAAAAGGTATTGCTATTGTTTTTAAAGCTTTCCTTGTAAATCTTTCAGGAGAAAAAGCAACACAGAAGAGAAGCATATGTGTGAGGTGGATGATTCCGTCAATGACGAAGCATGCTATAACAGAGCTTATATTTATAACGAAAACTTCAAGAAGGGCACCAGCAAACTACACATTAGTGGGGTAAGCTTTTCATTGATTTTTGTATGTGGGTTTTTGCTGTGTAGTCTACCCATGGGTTCCGGGGTCCCATTCTGGGGGGAAAAGAATAGATCCACTGCCCCCCACCCCCCCCAACACGCATGTTGTAAATGTCGACTGATTAGGGGTCTTCTTAGAAGTCCCGAGTGTTTGATAGGCAAGGAACCAACAATCTGCATACAAATAAGTCAGACATGTGAAATAGTAGTGCTTAAAAAATTTAAGACCAAAGTTTTGAAATGGACAAACAACCTGAACTTTGTGTCGGAGATTACAGTTGGTGAACGCTAAGAAGAAGACACAGAAGATAAATGTAATGTTTAAGAAGGGTCCTTTCCTGTTTACCTGATAAAGTGAAATCTATTTCTCGGCAAATCGTAATAATATGAACAATGAACACATGTCACAGCTTGCATAGTCTATGAACAACACAACTTTACATATACACAGCATACAGCCTTGCATGGGTTTTGACAGTGAAACGGAGAGCTGGCCGTTGAGAATGTAAAATCTAGAGCTGACCATTCAGCACACAAAATCTAGAGCTGACCCTTCAGATGGCAAAATCTAGAGCTGACATTGAGAACGTAAAATCTAGAGCTGACCATTGACAAATGCAAAATCTAGAGCTGACCGTTGAAAACGCAAAATGTGGAGCAGAGCGCTGAAAATGAAAAATCTAGAGCTGACCATTCAGCATGCAACATTTACCTAAACATACCATGATAGCCAAAAACAAAATGCTGGTTTGGTTCTGCAACATCCTGTAAAGTATAAAGAATACATGACTAAGATGCACACACACAAAAATGCTGGGGTTGGTTCTGCAACATCCTGTAAAGTATACATGACTAAGATGCACACACAAAAATGCTGGGGTTAGTTCTGCAACATCCTGTAAAGTATACATGACTAAGATGCACACACACACACACACAAATGCTGGGGGTTGCAACATCCTGTTCTGACAACATCTGTAAATCCTGGTAAAGTATACATGACTAAGATGCACACACAAAAATGCTGGGGTTAGTTCTGCAACATCCTGTAACATGACTAAGATGCAACACACACACACAAAAATGCTGGGGTTGGTTCTGCAACATCCTGTAAAGTATACATGACTAAGATGCACACACAAAAATGCTGGGGGTTAGGTTCTGCAAACATCCTGTAAAGTATACACACTAAGATGCACACACACACACATGCTGGGGTTGGTTCTGCAACATCCTGTAAAGTATACATGACTAAGATGCACACACAAAATGCAGTTCTGCAACATCCTGTAAAGTGACTAAGATGCACACACAAAAAATGCTTGGTTGGTTCTGCAAAATCCTGTAAAGTATACATGACTAAGATGCACACACAAAAAATGCTGGGTTACACACCTGTAAAGTATACAACTAAGATGCACACCACACACAAATGCTGGGTTTGGTTCTGCAACATCTTGTAAAGTATACATGCTAAGATGCACACACATGCTGGGGTTAGTTCTGCAAGTAAAGTATACATGACTAAGATGCACACACAAAAATGCTGGGGTTAGTTCTGCAACATCCTGTAAAGTATACATGACTAAGATGCACACACAAAAATGCTGGGGTTAGTTCTGCAACATCCTGTAAAGTATACATGACTAAGATGCACACACACACACAAAAATGCTGGGGTTGGTTCTGCAACATCCTGTAAAGTATACATGACTAAGATGCACACACAAAAATGCTGGGGTTGGTTCTGCAACATCCTGTAAAGTATACATGACTAAGATGCACACACAAATGCTGGGGTTAAAATGCTGGGGGTTGGTTCTGCAACATCCTGTAAAGTATACATGACTAAGATGCACACACACACAAATGCTGGGTTTGGTTCTGCCAACATCTTGTAAAGTATAAATGCTAAGGGGTTGGTTCTGCAACATCCTGTAAAGTATACATGACTAAGATGCACACACAAAAATGCTGGGGTTAGTTCTGCAACATCCTGTAAAGTATACACTAAGATGCACACACACACACACAAATGCTGGGGTTGGTTCTGCAACATCCTGTAAAGTATACTGCAACATCTGGTAAAGTATACATGACTAAGATGCACACACAAAAATGCTGGGCTTGGTTCTGCAACATCCTGTAAAGTATACATGACTAAGATGCACACACAAAAATGCTGGGGTTGGTTCTGCAACATCCTGTAAAGTATACATGACTAAGATGCACACACAAAAATGCTGGGGTTGGTTCTGCAAAATCCTGTACATGACAAGATGCACACACAAAAATGCTGGGGTTAGTTCTGCAACATCCTGTAAAGTATACATGACTAAGATGCACACACACACAAATGCTGGGTTTGGTTCTGCAACATCTTGTAAAGTATACATGACTAAGATGCACACACAAAAATGCTGGGGTTAGTTCTGCAACATCCTGTAAAGTATACATGACTAAGATGCACACACAAAAATTCTGGGGTTAGTTCTGCAACATCCTGTAAAGTATACATGACTAAGATGCACACACACACAAATGCTGGGTTTGGTTCTGCAACATCTTGTAAAGTATACATGACTAAGATGCACACACAAAACAGTTCTGCAACATGAAAAGTATACATGACTAAGATGGCTGGGGTTAGTTCTGCAACATCCTGTAAAGTATACATGACTAAGATGCACACACACACACACAAATGCTGGGGGTTCTGCAACATCCTGTAAAGTATCATGACTAACACACACACAAAAATGCTGGGGTAGTTCTGCAACATCCTGTAAAGTATACATGAATAAGATGCACACACGCACAAAAATGCTGGGGTTGGTTCTGCAACATCCTGTAAAGTATACATGACTAAGATGCACACACGCACAAAAATGCTGGGGTTGGTTCTGCAAAATCCTGTAAAGTATACATGACTAAGATGCACACACACAAAAATGCTGGGGTTAGTTCTGCAACATCCTGTAAAGTATACATGACTAAGATGCACACACAAAAATGCTGGGGTTAGTTCTGCAACATCCTGTAAAGTATACATGACTAAGATGCACACACACACACACAAAAATGCTGGGTTTGGTTCTGCAACATCCTGTAAAGTATACATGACTAAGATGCACACACACACAAAAAAATGCTGGGGTTGGTTCTGCAACATCCTGTAAAGTATACATGACTAAGATGCACACACTGCACATCCTGTAAAGTATACATGACTAAGATGCACACACAAAAATGCTGGGGTTGGTTCTGCAACATCCTGTAAAGTATACATGACTAAGATGCACACACACACACACAAATGCTGGGGTTGGTTCTGCAACATCCTGTAAAGTATACAAGACTAAGATGCACACACACACACACACACACAAAATGCTGGGGTTGGTTCTGCAACATCCTGTAAAGTATACATGACTAAGATGCACACACACACACAAATGCTGGGGTTGGTTCTGCAACATCCTGTAAAGTATACATGACTAAGATGCACACACACACACACAAATGCTGGGGTTAGTTCTGCAACATCCTGTAAAGTATACATGACTAAGATGCACACACACACACACAAATGCTGGGGTTGGGTCTGCAAAATCCTGTAAAGTATACATGACTAAGATGCACACACACACACACACACACACACAAATGCTGGGGTTGGGTCTGCAAAATCCTGTAAAGTATACATGACTAAGATGCACACACACAAAATTGCTGGGGTTGGTTCTGCAATGTCCTGTAAAGGATACGTGACTAAGATGTACACACACACAAGTCAGTTGGGCATCCTTTACAGTACATTGCAGAATTGACCCCAGTGTTTGGTGTCACTAGACAATTTTACGTTTAAAAACAAATTTACCACTGCTTTCTGAATAGTTGTACTCAGTACCATTGTTTAAATCAGCGCAATACGATTTGCTGCCACATCGCCCGCAGCTAGAATCCAACCCACTACTTTGAAATTATGAATTGTGTTCACAGTGCCTAAGCCCCAGACGCAGGTGCGCATATACATTTATCCCTACTGCAGTCTTGTATTGTGTATTTTGTTTCAGTGAGATCAATAATATGTCACTTTGTTACAAAGTCGGAGAGGTCCCTAAAATACCAAATGCTGCAAAATCTCTGGTTAGTCCAACCCAGCCTACAGTGACAACCCCAACTCAGGCCTACAATATGTGAGTATTCATATTTCTATTTTCTCATATAGTTTTTGGGTCCCCAATTTAGGGGTAAATAGAATAGTTCCCCTGCTCCCAAAACAGATTATGTCGTAGAAGCAACTAATTAGGAATTTGCTGAAATCAGAAGTTTTGGAACTAGAGGTGCAGATGTCACAGTCTAGCTGTAAACCACAATGCAACCTGTCAACCACCATGTTAAAGGGGAACACAGAAGAAGAAATATATCCTATTATATATTTTTGGTTTCTTGATAACCGTGGCTCTTCACAAACTCCTATTTCTTGTCCATTTTCTAGTCATAGTTTGTGTTGTGTTTAGTACTTCTTTGATAAAGTCTTTGATAGAAATGTTCAGTTGCGTATTTGTTTGCTTTCCTGTGCTGAACTTTCTTGTGACATTTTGTATGGTATTCAATATTTCTTTATAGACGAATGCTGAGAATAACCTGGACATATAAAAAACATTAATGAAGATGTCCGGAAAGAAACTTAACTCACGAAGAGAACTGATTGCCCACATCAGAAGGAGACATTCTTTGGTCACTGGATCACATTGTGACTGTGGAAAAGTTGGAGGAGAGGAAAAGCAGAGGGACACCTAGGGAGAAGATGCTGAACAGTTTGACACCATTGTATAGAAGATATTCTGTATCTGAACAGATATAATTTACACAGTACAGAGGGTTGTGGATAGACATGACTACCAACGCCACACAGAGTGGGTTATGAAAAGAAGAAGAGTCAGCATTGTATCTTTTAGAGAGCAGTGGCAGACCGTTCAATGTAACTGTCTTAGTCTTAGTCGAGGTTTCAACTTCACTGCAATTTGGGTTTCCCCATACGTGCTCTCTTCCTATGCCAGTGAAAATCAAATGAAATGCCCCTAACTGTCTCATTTGAAAAACTGGTGAACAAACAGTTAAGCTCTGAACAATCCAGAAAATATGCGCAAGCAGTAAGTGCAAATGGCAGTTGCTGAAAGAAAACAGTGACCACCAGGAATGCAGTTTGTTGTTGATGGAAGTAGCCTGTCATGATAGGTTGGCTATACACACATAGAATTATTACATAAGGTATTTCACCAGCCCACACGGAAACAGGCTACCAGCCATATTGAATTCCACTACTCAACCGCTGCTCAAATTAAAAATAAAAAAACACAGCTCACAGGGCTGCACCAAGCACTAAACTCAGTAGCTTAGGCAGCGAAACCGTAGACTACTCTCCATATGTGCAAACTGCATTAGCAAAGCGCTGTCGGAGTAAAAACATAACTTTGTAGCTTAACATTCTGCCATGCCTAGAACTCCATTTTAGATGGGACTTCGAGTGCAAATGTCATGGACATATAGTCCATGTGTTCAGTGTTGGTGAGTCAATATTATGAAACTCATAACAGTAAGATAGACCTGCGAGGTGTTAACGTTACACTGGACAATGACAGTAGTATAAACAAACTAGTGACCTGAGGCTGAGGAACAGAAGACGGATGGGATACAGGGAAATGTGGATGAAGTGAGCTATCTTATCGTCAGGTGAGACTTAGAGATTACTGAACGGATGGTTTTGTACATTCACAGTGTGCAGTTATGTTCGACAGAGCAGGAAATTCTAGTGACTAAACCCACTTTGAACAAACTACTATCTAATTCAGCACATGCCTGCTCAGAAACCATGTCTGCTCACCTTACAGTCACATGAGATGGCGAATCATGTCTGCCCACATCTATTTGTATAGCACATGATGATAATATGTGTGTGTGTAAACTACTTTGTAACACATTTCACAAGATGTTTCCATGCGGTCATAGTTTTGTGCATGTTTTGTCTCTAGAAAATAACGGTACCAGTACTCCACATAGTGCCTAAAACGGCACCACACTCACCAAAGTGTCTGTTACGAGTTAGTAAAGAAAGTAAAGGACCTTTTCCCCTGCACCTTTGGGCATATGAAGCATATAAGGCTATAATATAATTTATAGACCCATCGGGACCCAGTAGTTTATTAAAGTAGCAAGCAAAAAAAAAAAAAAAGATCCCTTAAAATAGGTGCCAATATTGCATACCGGCAGAGTTTTGAGTTGATTTATCTTTGCAGCATTTCAGACATGTCCATAGGTGCTCAGATTCCTCCTTCAGCATATAAATCAACTTCCCATGGTTAATAGTGCCAGTCCTGTGCAAATTAACAAGGCGCCCTGTGTGCCTCTCATGTTTGGTTGTGCCGATCTTTACTCCCAGTTCTCATATTTTTAGCAATGATGGCGACACACTGCTCCAAAAATTCTCGGATCATTCTCTCTCTCTAAAGGCATTAACAGTGTCGGCACGAGCCACAGGCTGATCACCTGCAGCTAAAACAGAACTGGCCAGTCTACAGCTCTTTCATTGCCAACAACACCTGCATGTCCTGGGATAAAGATGAAGGTAACTGCATGCACAGGGGAGTTTCACAATGACTCGATCTACTTCTATGTATGGAGCCTGCCTCTACCTGCCTGATCATGCTCATAGAATCACTCAGCATGCACAGGGGAGTTTCGCAATGACTCGATCCACTGTGTATGTATGGAGCCTGCCTCTACCTGCCTGATCATGCTCATAGAATCACTCAGCATGCACAGGGGAGTTTCGCAATGACTCGATCCACTGTGTATGTATGGAGCCTGCCTCTACCTGCCTGATCATGCTCATAGAATCACTCAGCACACACAGGTGGGAATAGTTCTGTGTTTCCAGCCACATGAAAGCTTGTGTCACCGCATCACCATGTTGCCAGTAGTCATAAAGAAGGCACCACTGACCGTGTTCTGCCTGCAGAGCGAACTGTGAATGTGTGTGGACTCTTATGCACATGTAAACGAACCCATCTGTATAGATCAGCACATCTGCTTCATCTGAATTGTCACTGATAAGGGCGTGGAGCTCGGCATTGACAGCAACAGGATTCTGCTCCCAACAACTCCTATCAAGCACGGTGACACAGGGGAATTTGGGATTAAGCGCTTCAGAATAAAAGCCGACAGAATAAAAACCTTGTTTTATGACAAAACATAATTTTCAATTTAAGTAAATTTGTGAGACTTAAGACTTGAACCATTTCCATAGGGCTGCACTGGCCAGTGGCCTACCATACACTATTACCCCTCCAGCTGTACCTGCACGGCCCCTGTCTGGAGGACTTATGACTCGTACAGGTCCACCCGAACAGTCCGCAAACAGTCTGGCAACAGGACATATCAATCGTAAGCTTTATATTTGATATTTGTTTATTTAATCTTCTTTCTTTTGTCAATATCTGCTTATGCCGCTTGGCGTCATAGTTCATCAGACCATGGGCAGCCGAGCCAGGGCATGCTCAGTCACTTGTATTACCGTGATGCTATGCAGTCTCAAGATGTCAGTTACTGCTTCAATCCATATTCTTCTCGGTCTTCCCCTGCCTCTTGATATTTCAATTTTCAGGTTGTTATCATAAATGTGAAAAGAGAGTTGGTTGAGGGCATATGCATCGTTTGGGGATGAAAAGTAGAAAAAGAAAACAAAAAATATTTCTTAGCGGTATCACAACATTAACTAGAAATCATCATCATTGTCAGTAAATAGTAAAGTAAAGGACCTTTTTCTATGCCTTTATGCATATAGGGCATATAGGGCTAGATTTTATAGACCAATCAGCACAGGATGGGTGGTGTCATCATTATCATAGTCCAATGCCAATGTGAATGGTTGAGTCAGCAGTTGCTCTTGACTCTCTGACTGGTTCCTTTCACCTCTGTTGATCAGATACAATAGACCTGGTGTCTGCTTATTTGGGGCCAGTCCATTCAGACAGAATCTGTATCCAGGTCTTTCTTGGTCTGCCTTTTGTCCTCTTCCCCACTACCGAGCCTGTAATGCACATGGGGGAGTCATTAACTCATTGTTCATGTTAGGGAGGGAGGGTGGATTTTGTTGCCCCTGGTTATCCCATATGACTGGGTCTTTCCCAGCATAATGGTTAGCTAGCTGCCTGGAGTGTCACACAAACTGCAAACTGCAGCTCCAGCAACAGTCCCCCAGGAATCTCTGCAGTAATTAATGGCACTAGTTAACTGAATGATGAATTGATGAAATGGGTCCTCACTTCACAATGTGAGGAGGATGGCTTCATTATTTCTCTATGGAGAGAGTGATAATGAAGTGGGTTGAATGTTAACTTTTACGTGTGAACATTTGTTGAGTTAAATAGTGTGAGTAGGAGAGCTAAGCTTTAAGCATACTGACTTGACTGCAGCAGACGTGATCAGGATTCTTTCATTCTCTTTGTCGTTTGATATTTTTATGAAGTTGATGTAGTTAATAATATTGCCTTCCCAGCTTTTTTTTCCCCACATCCATCTGTCTCTTTCTTCCTCTGCTTTAATATTATTTTAGGTCTTATGCTTTTGATATCACTTGTATTATTATGCTTTGCCGAGCTGTTGAAGCTTTCCAGTTAATGTTTTCTCTTTCTTTTCTTGTGAGGGGCAAATATTCTTTTGCTTCAATGCCTTGTCTGGAGAAATTATTAGTAATCATTTAAAAAAAAAACACTGCTGTCTCCACCATGAAAGGCATTATATTGGACACATTCTGATAGAGGAGGAGCAGAGAGTTGCTGGGCGGATGCTGAAATGAGAAGCAGAGGGATACAGAAAACAATGACATCCAAGGGGAACTCCAAGTTGAACGTTGATGAGAGAATCCGGATGTGCTGGACTGGATTCCAGACACGATATCAGAGTTATGGAATTGAATAGAGGAATAAACTTTGAACTTTCTTTGACATAGTGTTATTTTCTGGGTGACAGCCAATTTATTTAGAGTTTAATTGCTATGAAAGAAATGTTACCCAATAGCTTATCTGCTGTGATTAAAACACCACTGTTTAAAATCTGTCTCTTTTAAAAAACAAATTGGAGGAGGGAAATGTTAAATGCAAGAGGTAAAAAAGATGGCTGAGAGAGTGTACAGCCAGGATGAGAGAACCTGTTGGAGATGCAATACAGCCAACCTTCATTACAACCAGGATGAGAGAACCTGTTGGAGATCTGTTGCAGCCAACCTTCATTACAACCAGGATGAGAGAACCTGTTGGAGATCTGTTGCAGCCAACCTTCATTACAACCAGGATGAGAGAACCTGTTGGAGATCTGTTGCAGTCAACCTTCATTACAACCAGGATGAGAGAACCTGTTGGAGATCTGTTGCAGCCAACCTTCATTACAACCAGGATGAGAGAACCTGTTGGAGATCTGTTGCAGCCAACCTTCATTACAACCAGGATGAGAAAACCTGTTGGCGCTCTGTTGCAGCCAACCTTCATTACAACCAGGATGAGAAAACCTGTTGGAGATCTGTTGCAGCCAACCTTCATTACAACCAGGATGAGAGAACCTGTTGGAGATCTGTTGCAGCCAACCTTCATTACAACCGGGATGAGAGAACCTGTTGGAGATCTGTTGCAGCCAACCTTCATTACAACCAGGATGAGAGAACCTGTTGGAGATCTGTTGCAGCCAACCTTCATTACAACCAGGATGAGAGAACCTGTTGGAGATCTGTTGCAGCCAACCTTCATTACAACCAGGATGAGAGAACCTGTTGGAGATCTGTTGCAGCCAACCTTCATTACAACCAGGATGAGAGAACCTGTTGGAGATCTGTTGCAGTCAACCTTCATTACAACCAGGATGAGAGAACCTGTTGGAGATCTGTTGCAGCCAACCTTCATTACAACCAGGATGAGAGAACCTGTTGGAGATCTGTTGCAGCCAACCTTCATTACAACCAGGATGAGAGAACCTGTTGGAGATCCAATGCAGCCAACCTTCATTACAACCAGGATGAGAGAACCTGTTGGAGATCTGTTGCAGCCAACCTTCATTACAACCAGGATGAGAGAACCTGTTGGAAACCCAATGCAGCCAACCTTCATTACCTTTTGGATGTGAGAACCTGTTGGAGATTCATTGCAGCCAACCTTCATTACAACCAGGATGAGAGAACCTGTTGGAGATCTGTTGCAGCCAACCTTCATTACAACCAGGATGAGAAAACCTGTTGGAGATCCAGTGCAGCCAACCTTCATTACAACCAGGATGAGAGAACCTGTTGGAGATCTGTTGCAGCCAACCTTCATTACAACCAGGATGAGAGAACCTGTTGGAGATCCAATGCAGCCAACCTTCATTACAACCAGGATGAGAGAACCTGTTGGAGATCCAGTGCAGCCAACCTTCATTACAACCGGGATGAGAGAACCTGTTGGAGATCTGTTGCAGCCAACCTTCATTACAACCAGGATGAGAAAACCTGTTGGAGATCCAGTGCAGCCAACCTTCATTACAACCGGGATGAGAGAACCTGTTGGAGATCTGTTGCAGCCAACCTTCATTACAACCAGGATGAGAGAACCTGTTGGAGATCCAATGCAGCCAACCTTCATTACAACCAGGATGAGAGAACCTGTTGGAGATTCATTGCAGCCAACCTTCATTACAACCAGGATGAGAGAACCTGTTGGAGATCTGTTGCAGCCAACCTTCATTACAACCAGGATGAGAGAACCTGTTGGAGATCCAATGCAGCCAACCTTCATTACAACAGGGATGAGAGAACCTGTTGGCGATCTGTTGCAGCCAACCTTCATTACAACCAGGATGAGAAAACCTGTTGGAGATCCAGTGCAGCCAACCTTCATTACAACCAGGATGAGAGAACCTGTTGGAGATCTGTTGCAGCCAACCTTCATTACAACCAGGATGAGAGAAGCTGTTGGAGATCTGTTGCAGCCAACCTTCATTACAACCAGGATGAGAGAACCTGTTGGCGATCTGTTGCAGCCAACCTTCATTACAACCAGGATGAGAGAACCTGTTGGAGATCTGTTGCAGCCAACCTTCATTACAACCGGGATGAGAGAAGCTGTTGGAGATCCAATACAGCCAACCTTCATTACAACCAGGATGAGAGAACCTGTTGGAGATCTGTTGCAGCCAACCTTCATTACAACCAGGATGAGAAAACCTGTTGGAGATTCATTGCAGCCAACCTTCCTTACAACCAGGATGAGAGAACCTGTTGGAGATTCATTGCAGCCAACCTTCATTATGGAGACTTCCCATAGTTGATTAATTGATTAGAGTCTATTTATGGAATGAGAAGCGAGTACAAAAAAAAACAGGATATGGTTTAGTCATGTTTTTACAGATTTATTCAGTATATTAAATCATGTTTTTCCATCTAAAATCATCCATTTACAGATATTAAATATATTTAAACATGTGTTTTGCAGCTATTTCTGGTATTGTGTGGAAGATGAACCCCAAGTATAAACAGCTGATAGAACTCCAGAATGTAAGCTTTATATGTCATTTGTGATTGGTCATTCAGTGATAATTTAACTATGGTTTGATTGGTCAGTTTGTGATTTGTCAGCTATTCATTGGTTGGTCACTTTGTGAACAGTAGTTTAATATGATTGGTCAGTTATCTTTAAACAGTAGTTTAATATGATTGGTCAGTTATCTGTAAACAGTAGTTTAATATGATTGGTCAGTTATCTGTAAACAGTAGTTTAATATGATTGGTCAGTTATCTGTAAACAGTAGTTTAATATGATTGGTCAGTTATCTGTAAATAGTAGTTTAATATGATTGGTCAGTTATCTGTAAACAGTAGTTTAATATGATTGGTCAGTTATCTGTAAACAGTAGTTTAATATGATTGGTCAGTTATCTGTAAACAGTAGTTTAATATGATTGGTCAGTTATCTGTAAACAGTAGTTTAATATGATTGGTCAGTTATCTGTAAACAGTAGTTTAATATGATTGGTCAGTTATCTGTAAACAGTAGTTTAATATGATTGGTCAGTTATCTGTAAACAGTAGTTTAATATGATTGGTCAGTTATCTGTAAACAGTAGTTTAATATGATTGGTCAGTTATCTGTAAACAGTAGTTTAATATGATTGGTCAGTTATCTGTAAACAGTAGTTTAATATGATTGGTCAGTTATCTGTAAACAGTAATCTTTCCATGATTTCTTTTATATGGCTGCTTGCTGCTCCTTACCTCACTGTTTGCCACCTCACTGTTTGCCACCTCACTGTTTGCCACCTCACTGTTTGCCACCTCACTGTTTGCCACCTCACTTGTCTTCCACTTTAGCTTAGGGAAGTTCTAGTTATTCTGTGTATGTGTTTATTTGTCAGTCAGGAACTTATGATAAGGAGAGTTGACATTGTATCCCTTGGAGTGCTGATTGGTCCATGCAGATGTGGGACAGGCCCTGTAAACTACAGAGCTTTCCAAACCTTTCATGTTGGCGACACAAGTTTGAGACAAACACAATTTTGCAGCACAGTGAATGAATGAATCAAGAATTGACATCACTGCACTTGGGACATTTCCATACATGCTCCGTCCTCTTCTTCAGCAGCCAGTGAAATGTTGACATGCTAATAGTACCAGTTTGAATCTCATGAAAAGTCCACCTGTGGTTCCCCTTCAGTGTTGAATAGTTTCTAAAGCTTCTACTCACCTCCTGTTGAGTTTGTCTGATTGTGATCTGCGACACAATAATTCCGCCTACTGGAGGTTAAATTAACCCCTTTAGGAGTGATACAGACACATATGTAAATGGTAATAGTGAAAAGTTTCATGACACAATCTTGTGAAAGCCTGTAATTTATTTTCAAAATATCTAAAATATTAACATTATTGTATAACTCATGAATAACAAGTTGAATAATATCAGTAAGTGCTGCATTGCATGCTGATTATTTTTAATGTGTTTTGTTCACACGACACACTTGCACACTGCAGCTGACACACATTTTAAAAAGGCTATGGTATACTAAATACAAATTATGATTTAGAAATGGGTTCTTTACTTTTACCTTTGACAGTTGGAATGTATAATTCTGTTGCCATTTCCATTTCAACATATGCCAGTGAAAGTTAGAGAGACAGCTAAAGACATGGAACGCAAGTAAAATGTATTTGAGAACCATTACTTGAGGACATTGATGAACATGAGTAAAGAAAGTAAAGGACCCCTTTCATCTTATTGGCACATTGGGCATTTGATGTTAGACGCACATTCTTATAGATCATTTGACCCTCGACGGGTGAAGTAGTCAAAATAATGCCGGCTGCCTTTACTTCCCATGCCTTTATCTGGTACATGATTTCGACCGGATCGACCTCGGAGCCAAAGTCATGTTTGGAAGAAAAAAAATTGATGTGGATTTGAACCTACAACCTTTAGGCCGGCAGGCAAACTGCTGCTCCGTTGATGAACATTAAAATATGATGATTTTAAGATGGATGAAGAAGTATCTAGACAACCACAGGTGTCAATAGTTACAAGACGGAGAAGATGGTGCTACCCTGGGCAAATATCTGAGAAGAGGCAGGTGGAGAATCACTAGCAAGATGCTCCAGTGGACAGTAAATGAAATGAGGAAACAAGGTTGTCCAAGAGAAATTCTAAAATATGCATTAAAGAAAGAGGCCAAAGATGCTGGATGGGATTTCATCAGTGATATCGAAAGGATTATACAGGATAGTACGGAATAAAAGACTAGACTATGAGCCCTGTTGGGACATGTGTTACAACAGGAGGGTGAAAAAATATACATCGACCATTAATTTGAAACTTATTTAGGTTGCATTGTGCGTAATTGAGCGCGTTGAACATGATCATGTCATAGTTATGTGGTAACTACTGACCACTGAATAAGAACATGTGCTTATCGTCTTATGATGCATATGTTATGTTTCTGGCAATTATGAAAATGGGCGGATTGATTCAGAATCCGCCCAAAGAACAGTGATTTATTTTCATTAGAAATATGTCGACCAATAGAAATTCATTGAAGAATGCAGACAGTGTACAAATGTGTGTCAAGGACAACAGTGACGGATGGGGTACGGATATTTAGGAAAAGCTGTAACTTCACGACAGATGCTCCACATCTGAGTTAAATACATACTGTTGCGACAGTTGAAGAACCATTTTAAAAAAAATTTTTTAAACCTAATTTTTCTATATCACAGATAACAATTCCAGAAATTAAAGCCAAAACTATGACGGATATAGATCACCAGGTGAGACTGAGCATATGTAGTTTATATACTTGTTTTCTTCTGCTAAATGTAGGTCTTTCATTCGTTGGAGTCAAATGGATTGTACCTAGAACAGCCGTTCTCAATCTGTGAGGGTGGGGGTCGAATAACCATTTCACAGGGGTCGCCTAAAGACCATAGGAAAACACATATTCAGTGAAATTATGAAGTAGCATTGAAAAGGATTTTATGGTGGGGGGGTTGCCACAAGATGAGGAACTGTATTAAAGGGTCACTGCATCAGGAAGACTGAGAACCACTGCCCTAGAAGTTTGTACAGATAAAAGCCTTGCGAAAATGCTTATTAGTTTGTACAAATAAAAGACACATCAGTCTCCTATTACATTTGTTTTATTTTGCTAATAAAGCCTCTTGAAAGTCCTATATAAGTTTGTACAAATAAAGCTGTGTGAAAGTCACCTATAAGTAAGTACAAATAAAACCCATGTGAATCTCCAGTAAGTTAGTAGAAATAAGCGTTATATGAAAGTCTCCTAGAAGTTTGTACAAATAAAGCTGTGTTAAAGTCCCTTATACATTTGTTGTACAAATCCATAGTAAAGTCCCCTATAAGTTAGTAGAAATAAGCGCTGTATGAAAGTCTCCTAGAAGTTTGTACAAATAAAACTGTAATAAAGTCCCTTATACATTTGTTGTACAAATCCATAGTAAAGTCCCCTATAAGTTAGTAGAAATAAGCGCTGTATGAAAGTCTCCTAGAAGTTTGTACAAATAAAACTGTAATAAAGTCCCTTACACATTTGTACAAATCCATAGTAAAGTCCCCTATAAGTTAGTAGAAAAAAGCGCTGTATGAAAGTCTCCTAGAAGTTTGTACAAATAAAACTGTAATAAAGTCCCTTATACATTTGTACAAAGCCATAGTAAAGTCCCCTATAAGTTAGTAGAAAAAAGCGCTATATGAAAGTCTCCTAGAAGTTTGTACAAATAAAACTGTAATAAAGTCCCTTATACATTTGTACAAATCCATAGTAAAGTCCCCTATAAGTTAGTAGAAATAAGTGCTATATGAAAGTCTCCTAGAAGTTTGTACAAATAAAACTGTAATAAAGTCCCTTATACATTTGTACAAATCCATAGTAAAGTCCCCTATAAGTTAGTAGAAATAAGCGCTGTATGAAAGTTTCCTAGAAGTTTGTACAAATAAAACTGTAATAAAGTCCCTTATACATTTGTACAAATCCATAGTAAAGTCCCCTATAAGTTAGTAGAAATAAGCGCTGTATGAAAGTTTCCTAGAAGTTTGTACAAATAAAACTGTAATAAAGTCCCTTATACATTTGTTGTACAAAGCCATAGTAAAGTCCCCTATAAGTTAGTAGAAATAAGCGCTATATGAAAATCTCCAAGAAGTTTGTACAAATAAAGCTGTGAAGTCCCTTATACAGTAGTAAAATAAAAGCTATAGGAAAGTTCCCTATAAATTTGTAGAAATAAGAGCTATGTGAAATTCCCCTATCAGTTTGTAGAAATATGAACTGTACAAAAGTCCCCTATAGGCAAATCATCTATAAATTTGTACAAATAAGAGTCTTGGGACCGTCTCCAGGAAGTTTGTGGAAATAAGAGCTCTATAAAAGTCGTTTGTACAAATAAAAATCTTGCAATCAGATATCTGCAGGAATTCTTCTTCTGTCAGACATAGTTTTGAAGATTATACTATGTAAAAATGATATGAATTATAAGTCACCCTACTTCATAAAATTGTTGCTTACTGTGCATTGTAACTGGATACCCTACATCATAAACAGTGGCCTACTTTGCAAGAAGCCTCTAAGTATATATAATTAAGTACCATATTTTCAGGTGGTCATTTCCAGTTTTAGACTTTGTGTGTTGTGGATTTTTCATTGTATGCGGAATAGGCTGTCAAAATAATCTTCACACATTGCTGCACAGATGCAACTGATTTACAGTCTCCACACTTCTCAGTTACTTATATTCTATCTTTTGGGAGTATATCAAACAAAGATGAAAGAAAACTTTAAGAAAACAGCAGCACCTGTTCAGTTGTAAATTATAAAATCATAAAAACAAAGAAAATGTAAGGCGGCATGCAAAAAATTTTTGTCGATCTGTACAGAGGTTTTCATGATATTTGCTGAAATGTGAGGGTGTGACTTTTGAATCGCACTGTAGTACTCATTTCGAGCTGGGTCAGCCTGAAAGCACTTGTCTTTTAGTTTTAAACAATCCACTTCATTCATGTTTGAAACCAGTACATAGAGGCAGACATCGAGTCACTGTAACACTGTGCTTGCCATTACTCAGGGGGGAAAAAAAGGGGGCGGGGGGCGGAACTAAAAAAAAAAGTGCAGTTTGTTTTTTCCTGATCTTTTGGATCCTTCCTGATCCTTTTGTTCATGTTTATTACATCTTTATTTATTTACTCTTCATTCTTCTGTTATTTTTCAGTATGATTACAACTTCAGTGTTGAGCGGTCGGTTTCAAAGACTCCGAGATTGAGCTGAGATGACAGTCTTCATGTCAAGTTGTCCAGAAAGTTTACTATGCCTGATGTGGAAATTTTAACTATACAAACAATAAATCACTTTTATTTACACATTTGTTATATGTCATCCATGCTTTAGGGCTTTCAGTAGTACAGTAACCAAGCAAAAACATTGCATGGCAGATGCTTCAGTAGTACAGTAACCAAACAAAAGCATTGCATGGCAGATGCTTCAGTAGTACAGTAACCAAGCAAAAACATTGCATGGCAGATGCTTCAGTAGTACAGTAACCAAACAAAAACATTCCATGACAGATGCTTCAGTAGTACAGTAACCAAGCAAAAACATTGCATGGCAGATGCTTCAGTAGTACAGTAACCAAGCAAAAACATTGCATGGCAGATGCTTCAGTAGTACAGTAACCAAACAAAAACATTGCATGGCTGATGCTTCAGTAGTACAGTAACCAAACAAAAACATTGCATGGCAGATGCTTCAGTAGTACAGTAACCAAACAAAAACATTGCACGGCAGATGCTTCAATAGTACAGTAACCAAACAAAAACATTGCATGGCCGATGCTTCAGTAGTACAGTAACCAAACAAAAACATTGCATGACAGATGCTTCAGTAGTACAGTAACCAAACAAAAACATTGCATGGCAGATGCTTCAGTAGTACAGTAACCAAGCAAAAACATTGCATGGCAGATGCTTCAGTAGTACAGTAACCAAACAAAAACATTGCATGGCTGATGCTTCAGTAGTACAGTAACCAAACAAAAACATTGCAGGGCAGATGCTTCAGTAGTACAGTAACCAAACAAAAACATTGCACGGCAGATGCTTCAGTAGTACAGTAACCAAACAAAAACATTGCATGGCCGATGCTTCAGTAGTACAGTAACCAAACAAAAACATTGCAGGGCAGATGCTTCAATAGTACAGTAACCAAACAAAAACATTGCATGGCCGATGCTTCAGTAGTACAGTAACCAAACAAAAACATTGCAGGGCAGATGCTTCAGTAGTACAGTAACCAAACAAAAACATTGCAAGGCAGATGCTTCAGTAGTACAGTAACCAAACAAAAACATTGCAGGGCAGATGCTTCAGTAGTATAGTAACCAAACAAAAACATTGCACGGCAGATGCTTCAGTAGTACAGTAACCAAACAAAAACATTGCACGGCAGATGCTTCAGTAGTACAGTAACCAAACAAAAACATTGCATGGCAGATGCTTCAGTAGTACAGTAACCAAACAAAAACATTGCACGGCAGATGCTTCAATAGTACAGTAACCAAACAAAACATTGCATGGCCGATGCTTCAGTAGTACAGTAACCAAACAAAAACATTGCAGGGCAGATGCTTCAGTAGTACAGTAACCAAACAAAAACATTGCAAGGCAGATGCTTCAGTAGTACAGTAACCAAACAAAAACATTGCACGGCAGTTGCTTCAGTAGTACAGTAACCAAACAAAAACATTGCACGGCAGATGCTTCAGTAGTACAGTAACCAAACAAAAACATTGCATGGCAGATGCTTCAGTAGTACAGTAACCAAACAAAACCATTCCATGGCAGATGCTTCAGTAGTACAGTAACCAAACAAAAACATTGCATGGCAGATGCTTCAGTAGTACAGTAACCAAACAAAAACATTGCACGGCAGATGCTTCAATAGTACAGTAACCAAACAAAACATTGCATGGCCGATGCTTCAGTAGTACAGTAACCAAACAAAAACATTGCAGGGCAGATGCTTCAGTAGTACAGTAACCAAACAAAAACATTGCAAGGCAGATGCTTCAGTAGTACAGTAACCAAACAAAAACATTGCACGGCAGTTGCTTCAGTAGTACAGTAACCAAACAAAAACATTGCACGGCAGATGCTTCAGTAGTACAGTAACCAAACAAAAACATTGCAAGGCAGAAGCTTCAGTAGTACAGTAACCAAACAAAAACATTGCACGGCAGAAGCTTCAGTAGTACAGTAACCAAACAAAAAAAGAGAATGAATGTTCAACTTTTCAGACCTCACTTTTATTTTGCTGCATATTTACTCTTTCGGAACTAGAAGATTTGGCAACAAATGCCCACATGGGGCAAAAATTCTGAATACTAAACAGAGGCTAAACACATTGGAGTGGCCACTTGGGTAGCCAGATTTCCTGTGTGTGGTTTGACCAAAGGTAAAAAAAAAAAAAAAAATTCTTTGGGCGTGACTCAGAGCAATTTTCCTGTCGTATACTTTGCTTTAATTGGGACTAAAAGAGTTAATAAAATCTAGCCAGGTGTCTTTAGAATCTGAGAGAGGATACAAACATGCCATGCAGGGCGGGATACACACGGGCAGTGGTTGATTATGTTTGGTGCTTTGCATTGTCTGAGACAGAAAGAGATGGGGATTTTCCATGCATAGTCTTGGTGAACATGGATGTTGTCTTCTTCGTCTTCTTATTGTCCACTTTTTGTGGCATTAATCATATTGTTTGTTTGCTGCTTTGTGTCACGTACTGTAGTCTTTAGAGATCTCTTATTGCTCTGCTGCTGGAAGGCATGCCAGGAGTGGAGAAAATAAGAAGACTGCAATATTTTAGTCCATCCATTTAGCATTAGTTATTATGTCTGTCATTCGCTGTCATGACAGTAGAGATGAGATGTATTAGAGGAGCTGCTAGGGTCACAGGAAGAGATAACATAAACTTTAAGGATCTAGAAGACAGGCTAAAATCAGTCTTAATGTTCAGTGACTCGTTCATGGATAACATTAACTTGAAGGAACTAACTAGAAGACAGGCTAAAATCAGTCTTAAAAGTTAGTTGACTCCTTCAGAGATAACATGAACATGAAGGAACCAGAAGAGGGGCTGAAATCAGTTTTTATGTTTATTGACTCCTTCAGAGATAACATAAACATGAATGAACTAGAAAATGGGCTGAAATCAGTCTTAAAAGTTAGTTGACTCCTTCAGAGATAACATGAACATGAAGGAACCAGAAGAGGGGCTGAAATCAGTTTTTATGTTTATTGACTCCTTCAGAGATAAAATAAACATGAATGAACTAGAAAATGGGCTGAAATCAGTCTTAATATTCATTGACTCGTTCATGGAAAACATAAACTTGAAGGAACCAGAAGAGGGGCTGAAATCAGTTTTTATGTTTATTGACTCCTTCAGAGATAAAATAAACATGAAGGAACTAGAAGACGGGCTGAAATCAGTCTTAAAAGTTAATTGACTCCCTCAGAGATAACATAAACATGAAGGAACTAGAAGACGGGCTGAAATCAGCAAGAACCTTGTTGGAATAAAAAAAAGTTAACTAGCCCTTGACCCTTAACTAGTCATACTTTTGAACCCCTTGGGATTCCTGGGATTTCCCACACATCAGTCATTAACGGGATCACCAACATGACAGTTTACAGTGTTTCCCTGGAAATAAGACCTAGTCATATATTAATTTTTACTTCAAACAATGCATCAGGGCTTATAAAATCCCAAGTACTATCTTGGGCTTCTGGGTAGGGGTCTATGAACCTATGATAACGTTCCTTGGGACTGAAAGAGGTTTTTTTTTTTTTTTTTTTTTTTTTTTTTTTTACGTATCCAGAAACCATGAGTTGTAAACCCTTTGGCTCGGTACTATGGATATCACAACCCTTCAGCCTTGATTCCATTATAGGTACCGTTAATCTGGGAGAAATGTGGCTTTTCTGCCTACCCCCGGGAGTGAACCCGGACCACAAGGAGTTCGTCACCCGTCCGCCGCGAAAGTCAGGTTTAACCAACTTCGCTAGAGAGCCGGGCTATTTGGAGGAAAAAAGTGCACATAATTCAAAATATCAAATAACAAAAGAAATGATGGCCAACAACTGGTAATTTATTGTCCAAATATCAGTGTGATTGTTGCCACTGTTTTTTTTTTATGGTATCTGTTATTTTGTTTTGTCTGATGTTGGACAGAGTACAGCAAAGATCAGTGTTCACACACGACAGGTGGTGCTGTTTTGTTTTGATGGTATCTGTTATTTTGTTTTGTCTGATGTTGGACAGAGTACAGCAAAGATCAGTGTTCACACACAGCAGGTGGTGATGTCTTGTTTTGATGGTATCTGTTATATTGTTTTGTCTGATGTTGGACAAAGTACAGCAAAGATCAGTGTTCACACACGACAGGTGGTGCTGTTTTGTTTTGATGGTATCTGTTATTTTGTTTTGTCTGATGTTGGACAGAGTACAGCAAAGAACAGTGTTCACACACGACAGGTGGTGCTGTTTTGTTTTGATGGTATCTGTTATTTTGTTTTGTCTGATGTTGGACAGAGTACAGCAAAGATCAGTGTTCACACACAGCAGGTGGTGCTGTCTTGTTTTGATGGTATCTGTTATTTTGTTTTGTCTGATGTTGGACAAAGTACAGCAAAGATCAGTGTTCACACACGACAGGTGGTGCTGTTTTGTTTTGATGGTATCTGTTATTTTGTTTTGTCTGATGTTGGACAGAGTACAGCAAAGATCAGTGTTCACACACAGCAGGTGGTGCTGTTTTGTTTTCTTGACTGTTAGAGCTAAAAATCAAGATTAATTACAATCACAAATGGGCTCAGTTTAGATAGATTAGCTGCTGCCGCCCCTCCAGGGGGTGAGCTACTATATGATAAAGCGGATGTGGTGAAGACTGTGGGATTAAATGAACAGTACAAAAGAACAGAAAGGGAATCGATACAGTGAAAGACTAAATAAACGGGGGTGTGTAGAAGGTTCTGGAAGATATTTGACATTAAGGGGGAAAGCAGAGGCAGACTTTTATTAAGGTTGCAGCTGCTACTATTAGCATGTTGACCCTTCGTTGGCTGCTGATGAAGGGGTCGGAGCACATGCGGGAATGTCCTAAGTGCAGTGATGTCTATTCTTGATCATTCATTCATTCTTCAAAGTCGGGAGTGCATCTGCCTGGGAAGCGAGGAGACTCTGCCTGTAAATAAGCCAGATTTGTAAAACGAATG